CGTGCATCGGGACTTATACTGTACCAACTGTATATATAATATTTAACAATACATTTTAAATCGAAAAACGAATGAAAAAGTTGCACATCCATTCATCTTGCTGCGGGAAATTTTGGTTTGTTTAATACTTTTTAGTGCTCCTTTTCCTCGCCTATCTGTTTACTCAGCAGAGTTACATAAATACGGCTATACCTTTGCCACATCAACTGCACGACAATACTGTACGCCGATATAGCAAACAAAACGCCAGGGAGACATAATTTGGAGCCGATGGTCTATAAAAAAAAACGTGTCATTACACATACCGTGAAGTATACACTCCTTGATTTGCATTAAAAGCGAGGTATAGATAATCCCAGACAGTTGCGGTGTTATTTGTCGAGTAGCCATGCATTTGGAATCGCAATTCATAATTTTGTCCGATAACAACATTTGTAGAGAGTAAAATTTGATTTACTAGTAGTTTCCAATAATATTCTGCTTTCAAATTTTAGTTAAAAGGCGATTCAAATAATATAATGTCCAAAATTCCTACGAAATATTTATCCTCTCGGTAGATATTATGTGTTCATTTTGACAAACATAATAATATTATGGATTTCTTTGTTACAATATCAACAATTTTAAGCATTCGGTACAATGTTTTAGAAAAATGCTGATCAATCCTTAAAATAGGTCTTCTTCTAAAAAGTCTCTGTTTAATGAATATTCAATGAATAAGAACCACGGATTTCCATAAGGTTTGGTTTCAAGCCATGTTCTCTTCAATTTGTTTATTATTGATTTCACTAACCAAGTTTTAATCAAATTCCAAAAAAAAATAATATAGTATGCAGATCTGTACATATGTATATACGAAAAAGATATTTGACACCAGTATGGCTTCTCTTAAAGATATCTTCGCTGTTATTCACGAATAGATAACATCAAATAGTCTTGGGATTTTCTAATCCCAAGTGTAAAATTTGTGTTTCCAGTTTACATCTAGCCTAAATCACAGAATAATAAACAATCAGAATGACCACTATCCATGGAAAATTAAGTACGCGCATCTCGTTCGCGCGTACGCGCAAACTAGTGTTGTTTATGTGGTATGCATAGAAAAATTAACCCGGTTTAATTGACTTACGGCAGTCACATACATAGGTACTATACAATTATTTTAACATTGTTATATATAATAACATATATATAAATATAATATAATTAAATAAGTATAATATAATTAAACATAAATATAAACAAATACATAACCTCACAAATCATATGTCGATAAAGACCCGTTACACCAAATGTGATTTTCAATTCGAGTCTGTGTTCTGTGTTTCCTTCTAAAACATGGAGTGCGTGCTGAAAAACTTTAAAGACGGCATCTGAGAGTGGGCATTCTGATTGTTTATTATTCTGTGGCATCGTATTTCAATATAATTAAGACATCCATGATCTCTAGTTTTGATAAATTATATCTAAAAAATGCCTAATCATAATATATAAAAATCAAAGATTGATTTCTTTGATTAAAATCAATATCCTGTCAATATATTTATTTTAGTGAGTCTCATAATCCTCCTGTCAAAATGAAATTTAAAAACGTCAGTAAAATATCAATACCAAAATGACTAAAGACACTAATAATTTAGCGAATTATTTTAAAATAATCCCAATAAGAACAGAGATAAAAACCAAAAACATTGAATCCAATGACAATTTTCGTGAATTTCAAAGAATTTATAGACCTTTGTTTGCTAACAACCCAAGCAAATACAATGAACTTCACAGTAAATCAAGTACGGTCTCAAGGCCATTAATAGAGGTAAAAACAATACAGTTAGAAATGCCCACCTTTGGTTTGGAATCTGCAGTTATAAAAACCACTAAACGACCCTTCAAAAAAGGGAACCAACAACCAATAATAACAAAAGTATCCGCTCCGAAACAACCAACAAAAACAGAACACGTTGCCTTTTCCGCCAAAAGTTTGGTAAAGAAACTGTCCTTAATGGAACACCTGTTAAGAGATAATTGTAAGATGTCTGCAGATTTAAGTACTTCTAAAATGTTAGATCTTACTAATAAAGAACTAGATGTAGCAAACAAACAGATTGCCCAGATACAACAGATGATTGAGCAGAGAAAAGCCGATGCACAGAGAATACAATCAGCTCCAGCATGTCACTATAAAAGAAAAACTAAACGGCATCAGGATTGCGTTCACAAGAAATATATATCCGATATACAATCTATGAACAGAAAACTAAAAGAATTTAAAAACAAATATGCAAAAAAGCCCCAAATTATGTACAAAAGCGTTAATGATATTTTTACACAGTACCCCAGAGGCGTAGAATCTGTTACTCAGCCAAAACTGCTCAATAATGATAAAAAATTAGATGAAACTCTACAGGTAGCTATATCGGAATTAGAAAATATAGTTAACACTAAAATATCGGAACTTCAGCAATCTTCTGAGTCAACTGGAGCAGAAAATAAAAACGTTGCGTCCCATTCTTATTTTATTAAAGCACCGGAATCCCTTGGTAGTTTCAATCATTCATCCTTTAATTTAATAGATAACAAAGAAAAAATGTTAGGCATTAAAAGTAACTCATCAATAAATATGTTCTCAAAAGATCTTGATGAAGAATCATATAACAAAATGATAGAACAGTATATTTCTAGTATACCGAAAAGAACCACAACACCTGTAACTGCCTTTGGTTCAAGACAAAAGCCTCCTGACTATTATCCACAAGCTCTAGAAGATTTTCTGGCTGGTGAAAATTTAGATGATGCTTCTACTCATTCATCAACATCTTGTTCCTCTGGCCGTGAGGAACCAAAACATTTCAAAGTTGAGCATGTATTGGCAAAAAACTGGTCTGGAAATCACCAAAATGAGTCAGAACTAAAGTTAGACAAAACAATTGAAAATAAAGTTTGGAATAAAACAAATGACACTGAAGATACATTTTATGATTTTAATAAGAAAGATATGTGTTCAAATACATTTAACACCAAAAGCAATTGTTGTAATTTTCTTAGTGCTTGTGAAGAGAAAAATAAAAACATGAATGTACTTTGTGATACACGAGACAGAGAAATAATACAAAACACCAAAGTTTCCAACATTTTGTATGAATCTAAAGACAACGATCATTTATTATCATATTCTTTTAAGAAATCAACTTCTAATAAAACTACTGATAAGGCAGATTTAATGTCTCAAATAATCGATTCATCAGAAAAGAGACTCAATAAATACAGACATTTAAAACAAAACGTTATTGATATCAACTCCTTTTGTGATACTATCTGTAATATAGTTAATAATGACGATGAAGATCAAATAAGAGACAATTCGAATAACAGAAATAATATGACTTCAAAGTATGATGTCGAAAGTTCCGATAGTGTTTTTGATGATACAAAACTGCAAGAGTCAGTTCTTAAATCCTCTTATCTTATGAAGGAATTTAACATCAAGCCAAAAATATTTGTTGAGGACAGCCCAAGGCGTTATAGCAAAAGCAAGTTTTATACAGCTGCTGACAAGTGTAGGGGATCAGGAGATAATAAGGTTATGGATGATCTATTGGTTAATCTAGAGAATGCTCTGGAAAATTCTATATTTAAATTGGATTCAGTTGTAAACGATTCGTCTATGTCTACCGTACTTAAATAAAGTAATATTGTTGTGTATGAATAACATTTTTTTATACTAACGAATCAACCTTATAGTTATAATACAAACTTGTTAGTTAAGTAATTAGTATGAACCCTTTCCCATGTCACTTGACTTAACGTTAGATTAAAATGAAAATTAAATGTTAAAGAACAAAAATAAAAGTCCAGCGTAAACTTTAAAAAGTTTTATTTCATCGTTTCATAACATTTTTGGATTTCCATACTGATAGCAAACTATACTAAATTCATTTAACAGAAAAGTAGCGGTCAACAAATGCATGCTCAGAACACGCGAAACCTGATGTTTATATAATTGTACAGGGTTGTATTAAGATTCTAGCAGTCTATAACATCTGAATTTGAAATTAATTAATTTATAATTTTTAGGATTACTGTTACAATAATAGTAATCAATGATTAATCTTCCAAAGAAGTATACTTAAATATTAGTTTTTGTAAATTGTCATTCACACATCATTAGTTAATTGTGGTATTAATCAAAAGGCAAAAAATAGAAAGTTGTTTTTATAAATTTTACGCTTTAAGACCAATATTTGGAAATAAGTAAAAATATTATCATTAATGACATAAAAAGAGACCTCTTATTGTGTAGAAGTTAACATTACATTAACATTAATAAATAAAATTTATTAAGTCGACGTTTCGATTTCGATTTAACATTTATTTGTGTAAGTAGAAACGAATGTATATTTAGAAAAATTGTGACGTCACTATTTTTAACTTTGATGCCGGTTATGTCGAAGATGGTTCGAGATATCAAAATGCCGTTTTCAGATTTTGATTCAGGAGACAAAACCATATATGTATCCATCGATAGATTGTCCCCAAGTATTGCATAGGTGACAACGCACAAACGGACAAACTTTGCGGATGTAAAGTAATATCGAATTACGAAAAATAAGTACTGGAAAACTACATAGGTACAATGAGTAAAATGGGTTACAGTTTTTCATTTTTAAAATATTCCATTTTGTTGAAGTGATTTTGAATAATTTCATATCTTTTATTTATCATTGCTACTCATTTCCACATCAAAAGCTAGATCCACCCAGGCCCGACCAGAGAAGGGGACAGGGGGGGGCAAAGTATCCGGGGCCCAAGGAAGCCCGGGCTGGCCGTTAGCAAATTAAAAAAAATCCTTTTATTAAAATATTTTACATGAACGATTTTTGGAGTTTTCGGACTGCAATGAAAAAACTGGAGAAGACATCGCAAATCCAATCAAAGAAGTTCTTAAAAAATATGACATATCCTTAGATGACTGTAGAGGACAGGGATTCGATAACGGCAGTAATATGAGTGGCAAGTATAAGGGTGTTCAGGCTCATATTTTAAAATCAAACCCTCTGGCTGTGGACTCACCATGTGGATGCCACAGTTTGAACTTATGTGGAGTATGCGCTGCTGAGAGTGGTACTGAAGCACACACTTTCTTTAATGTTGTTCAGAATCTGTACAATTTATTCAGTTGCAGCCCAAAAAGATGGGAGCTTCTGAAAAAGATAGTAGGATCTTCAGTGCACTCATTGTCTGATACGAGGTGGAGTACTAGAGTAGAATGTGTGAAACCAATAGCGGCACACATAGGCAAAATCATTGAGGCAGTTTCATCATTGTTGAATCTTAACGTAACTGTTGAAATGAGAGCCGCAATCAATGAGGTTTTAGAATATCTTAATACCTTCAAGTGCATCCTCATGGCGTCAATTTGGGTGAAAGTGTTGGTACCCATCAACTACAGAAGTCAACTACTTCAAACTATGGACGCTACTTTGGATGTTGAGAGTAGTAATATAGAGAGCCTAATTGATGATTTAAGTGCCTTAAGAAATAACTGGGACAAGATATTGTCTGAATGCAAACATGTTGCAAATGCTTATGGTATCGAACCGGAACTCTCCACTTCCCGTGCAAGAAAGAGGAAGACTTTTCACGATGAAACAGCTACAGAAGGTGTAATGTTAAATTTATCCCCGGAAGAACGCTTCAAAACAGAAGTTTTTTACATAATAATTGATGTTTTGGTGGCCAACCTGAAAACGAGGTTCACAGCACTGAGAGAAATCGAAATGAAATTTTCATTTTTATGGAAGTATAACGAAATGGACGAGAATACGATCTCAGAAAGTTGTGTAAGATTCGCCGAAGAGTACAATTCAGATGTAAGCAGGGATCTAGTTGATGAAATGATTTACTTGAAAACTGTTAGTAAATCAAAAATCTCAGATACGTCGCTGAAACCAGCAAAACTTTTGAACAAGCTCGTGTCCCTTAATGTGACAAATCTTTTCCCCAATGTGTGCATTGCTCTTCGCATGTTCTGTTGCCTACCAGTATCCGTTGCTCAGGCCGAGAGATCATTTAGTGTTTTAAACCGAATTAAGAATTGTTTAAGATCTACTATGGGTCAAAAACGATTATCTGATTTGGGACTGTTAAGCATAGAGTCGAAACTTGCAAAAACTCTTGACTTCGACAACGTGATCCAAAACTTTGCTGATATGAAAGCAAGAAAAGTGTTGTAACTAACAGTTCTATTGTAAATAATTAAAAACAAAGTTTAATGTTTAATTGTAAAAAGTTTAATTGTTAAAACTGTTTTAATTTTCTTCCTTCTTGTGTCAATAGCATGAGTGTTCACTATTACATATCCCAGTTTATGAGTTATCAGATTTTTGGGAATTTCAATTGGGTTTGGGAGGGGGGGTGGCCGCGTCTTATCCCCGGAGACCGGCCTGGCCCCGGGCGGTCCTGGATCCACCTTCAACTGGATGGGGGCCTTCTTTAAGAGCCACAACCTCTCTCTTGGTATAAAAGTAAGATGCTGCGATGCTACGTCTTCTCTGTTCTTTTTTCTGGTGTTCGTAAACCTTGGATAAAGATATGTGCAGAAAATTGGAAGTATTTGAGATGTGGGTATATCGGAGAATACTTAAAATCCCGTGAACTGACCGAGTCACCAATGAGGAGGTCCTCAGAAGAATAAAGAAGAACCGAGAGGTACTGACCACTATCAAATCTCGAAAGTTCCAGTACTTTTGACACATTATGCGAAATTAATCCAGATATGCCCTTCTACAAGTGATCCTGCTAGGAAAAATATTTGGACAACGGGGTCCAGGAAGAAGAACGTTCTGGTTGAAGAACCTCAGAACCTGGTTCAACACAAAATCTATGCAGCTTTTCCGCGCTGTGGGAGATAAGGTAAAGATTGCCATGATGGCAAAGCAAATAGTTTGTTTTGTTAAAAAACAATAATATATATATATATGTATATATATATATATATATATATATATATATATATATATATATATATATATATATATATATATATCGGCAAGAAGAAGTTTTCCGCTTCTATTCTAGTATTCCGATCTATTGTAGTGAGGTGATATGTTGATCATTATATATATTGTAAATAAAAGGCTCTTGGGAATATGGTTGAGCATTAAAGTGTTCTAACTGTGTAATTGTTAGCCCAAAAGAAGAGGTAGACACAAAACGAGGTGGATTAGTAAAGCTGAGGAAGACCTTAAACACGTGAAGGTGAAGGACTGGAAAATAAAAGCACAAAATAGAAGCGAATGTAGAAATATTGTACACCAGGTCCTCCAGAGTAATTAAGAATGTTCTACATACATATTAAAGTTAAAGTTTTGTTTAAAATAATTGTAATTAGTTAATATTAGGATTATGTTGTAAAAAAATGCCCTAGCCCTTAACGGCCTGTTGTGCGTAAAAATAAACAAATAAACTGTGTAACTGTTGCTAAAGGTTGTTGTCTTTGATCCTTAAAATACTTCTTAGATGTTATAGTTTTTGTTGTCAAAGTTTTTTTATTATTAAAAAGACTTTGGATTACCTATTTATTAAAAAGGTAGGATTATCTTCTGGTTTGAAATAAAATTAAAAGTAGTTAAAGACAAATACACATACAGTATAAGCTGCCACATTCGGACTGTATAAAGTTTAAAAACTTGTGGAAGATGGAAAACCACATATTATGCAGTACGATGTCCTTTTTTTGTTGTTTTTGTCACAGGTTCTTACACCTTTTATTTTATTCACATACATATTATTCACATAATGATCAACATATAACCTCACGACAGTACCCTGGATGTAAACGGAAAACTTCTTAATATTGTTCTGAAGCTATTTTCTTGTGGCATTGTAAATTAATTACTATTTATAACTGAGAATAAGCTACAATTAAAGATAAAAATACGTTTATTGACGTTTCAATTTCCAATTCGGAAATCGTTCTCAAAATACAAAACAAAAATTTTTTTGTATTTTGAGAACGATTTCCGAATTGGAAATTGAAACGTCAATAAACGTATTTTTATCTTTAATTGTGGCTTATTCCCAGTTATAAACGGAAAACTTCTTATTGGCGATATCTATATTATTGTTTTTTAACAAAACAAACTCTTTGCTGGGCCTGAGGATGAGGCAAATATTGTACGCCTCGAAACCGATCGCTTCTGTAAAACTTTGAAAGTAAATATTAGATTGTGAGTATTGACCTTTTTAATATATCTGTTCAACTATGAACTCACACTTGCAATCCTTTTATCATCATAATAATTATTATAATAGTCAAAATAATATTAAATTTACTTACTTAAGAGAAAACAGCAAACACCTTAAAAATGTTCACAGTTCTAAGTTTATTTAAATAACACTATAATTATAAACCAACACACACATATATAAAGCTATTAAAAGTAAAAAGTCTATGCTTATATAATTAAATTCAACAGACATAAATGTCATTCGTTAGGATTATTGAATCCATATCTGTTATAACTGCAAATTATGCGTCTTTGTTTAGAGGTGTAGGTTGTCGTTACTTGTGAGTTTCTACCTGTTACTTTTGATCCGCTTTTGTATATAATCAGTTACAGCATAAGTGATTTTGTAACAAGTAGATATCTCTTTAGCATCTCTAGATATTGGGAATGAATATATCACGCGTCCCTAGTGTTTATATTCTACTTTTCTGTTAGGCGAATATAATATAGTAATTTTACCCATCGTATGCAACGGGCCACGAAACGATGGAACGATAATTTCGATGGCACGCTATACGTTATATCTACTATACGTCTCACATCGTTTAATTTGGAGTGTCATATGCTAAGATTCGGCTAGTTGTCTATTTTGTACTCAGTCAGCGACCTTCTTCCGATTCAATAAAGCAAATTTACCTTTTAGTGTGTATTATCATCCATAGTCTCATGTGATAATTCATATATCGCTATACGTTCATTAATAATGAAAATGCTGTGTGTTGCCCTTTTGGCAGTACCCTTGTTTGTTTTTTTCTATCTGAATATACACACAACCAAACTTATATGGAAGCAACCAGAATTTCTTACTAATAATAAGAAATGTATGATAACTTTTTTTGCAGATAAGCGATAAAGTTTTTTGTTGAAAATACGATTCATAATTAATAAAATTTGATCAAGTAGGTACACATTGAACAATTTTATTATTTGTGTCAAGTTGTAAAACCGAGACGTCAGAGTAAAGTTAGTTTCTGTTCAAAAAAGGTAATATGCCCTACGTAGGTTTGTCAGATGTTCAAAGGAAAAGAATTGTTACTCTAGTTGAACAGGAAAAGTCACAAAGGCAAATTTCAGCTACGCTACACGTCTCGCAGAGCGTTGTTTCAAAAACATATGCAAGATTTTTAGAATTGGGTACACTCAAGAACAGGCCAAGAGAAAGTCGTCGTAGATCGACAAGACCGATTTTTAGGTCAAATATCTAGAATAAATCCAACCTCTTCTCATCCGGAGCTCCAAAGGCAACTTTTGCAGACTAAAAGTATAGACATTTCAAAATTCCACGAGGAAACTAAGTTCCTGTAGCTGGCTGTATACCATATATCACAAAAAAATTTTGTTAAAATCCTTTATAAAAGGTATATAAAAATGCCTCAAACGGGCTATCACAAACACATTGCAAAACGTTTTCGGATTAAACAATCCATCATCAGTGCAAACGGTTGTACATGCTAGTAGCCACCAAAATATATGGGTAAAAACCCTTTAAATGTTATAAATTTGAAATTGTTTTACATTATTAGTATTTTTAATTTGTGATGGTTAAGTTACCGTTGGATAGGTAACATGGCGGCGTATGACTCTACATTTTACTCATGTAGAGTCATACGCCGCCATGTTACCTATCCAACGGTAACTTAACCATCACAAATTAAAAATACTAATAATGTAAAACAATTTCAAATTTATAACATTTAAAGGGTTTTTACCCATATAATTTGGTGGCTACTAGCATGTACAACCGTTTGCACTGATGATGGATTGTTTAATCCGAAAACGTTTTGCAATGTGTTTGTGATAGCCCGTTTGAGACATTTTTATATACCTTTTATAAAGGATTTTAACAAAATTTTTTTATTGACATTTCAGTTGAAATAATACGGAAGAGACTTTGTTCCCAAAATTTATTTAGCAGGAGGCAGTTGAGGGTTCCCGAGATATCCAGACAAAACAAAATTAATCGGCTGAATTAATCTCTTGAACTCCAGAACTGGACAAATAAAGATTGGCAAAATGCCCTTTTTTCAGATGAAACCAGAATTGGCCTGAGATCAGATGACCGTCAAATTTGAGTTTTAACAGGTCGAGACAGATAAGCTAGACTGCAAACTGCCAGATCCGTTCCAAAATATAAAGTAGGAACTGTAATGTTTTGGGGAGGTATTATGATGGGAATAAAAACACCTTTGCGTCCATTACGGCAGAGTTTAACGAGTCGCCAGTATGTCGATTTGGTACTAGAACCTATAGTTAGGCTGTGGCCTAACTCTTTCTTTTTGAGTTAAACTCTTTCCTCAGGTGGAGAATAGACATGAAAGGGTTATTGGTTTCGTAGATGCAAAACCTTTTACTGAGTTGGAACTCGGCGAGACTGTTGGACGGATGAAGATCCGAAAAGCACCTGGAATAGATGGAGTCATGCCGAAGACAGCAAGACTTGCCGCACTAAAAGACCCACAGGTTTTTCTTAGATTGCTAAAAAACTGCTTAAACAACAGCAGTTTCCAACAATGTTGAAAGAAGCTAAGGTTGTCCTTATCCCGAAAGGTGGAGGTGCAGAGGAAGAGGTGCGATTTCAGCTAATTTGCCTTCTTAGTTAGATAGCTAAATTGTACGAATAGCTTGTAAAAGGTCGCCTTGAGCGAAAGCTAGACGAAAAGCATACGCTGAGCGATCGCCAATATGGTTTTAAGGCCAAAAAGTCTACCATAGATGCAGTCACAGAAGTAACCTGTTTAATTATGCAGGATACAAAAAGATGGGTGGCTCTCATCCTGCTTGACGTCAAGAATGCCTTTAATATAGAATCATTAGAAAAATTATGTCCAGGCTGAGAGAATTAAGCGTTAGTGAGTACCTGGTCAACCTAATTGACAGATACTTTACTGACATATCCATAAGAGAAAAAGATACCAGCATCCGTTTGTCGCAAGGTGTTCTGCAGG